TATATTATTATAATTTAATTAATTATATATTATTATATAAATAATATCAAATAATTTATAAATATGAATGATTTTTTACAAGTTTTATAAATTTTTGTTAAATAATAGTTAAATAGTTATCAAATTGATAATGAATGATCAATGAACCTTTAATGAATAATTTAATGAATAGTTGCTAAATTTTTAACAAATTGTTAATAAATTTTTAATAAATAGTTTGATAAATAATTGTCAAATTTTTAATAAATTGTTGACAAATTTTTGACAAATTATTAATAAATTAATATCAAATTTTTATCGAATTGTTAATAAATAATTTTGTGACAAACTTTTAACGAATTTTTACTGAATAGTTATTGAATTATTTAACAAATTGTTAATGAAATTTTTAATAATTTATTGTTGAACTTTTAATTAATAAATTTTTGATTAACAAATTTTTTGATTGTCAAATTTTTAATTGCCAAATTTTTTATTATTGAATTTTTGATTACCAAATTTTTGATTGCTGAATTTTTTATTGTTACTTTATTGCTGAAATAATAATATACTAATTGACAGCAATTGAAAAGAATTCAGCAATATTTTTATTATTAAATTTAATCAAATTCAATAATAATTTAGCTATCAAATAACATAATTTTAATTAGTGTATCTAAAAATATCCAAATGAATATATAAGAAAATAAAGAGAAAAAAAAAGAAAATAAGATTCTTTGATTTCCTTCAAAGATTTGTTTTTCAAGATTTTTTTTTAATAAGAAATACTCAATTGGGATATCTTTTCTTTTCTTGATTATCTGAAGAACTTATTTATTCTTAATCTGAATTTTCTTCTTATGTACCATCTATTATTTAATAAAAGCCTTTATTTTCAGTAATACATTTGATCCCAACTTTCTTTTAACAATAATTTTTTATCTATATATAATAAATAGGTAACTTATAATGAACCCCAGATTTTTATGTGATCCAATAGAAATTGAGCCATATTGATTTAATATATTATCTTTTAATAACTATGCTTAGTTAAAGGAATTTTATTGATAAATATCTTTTATTATCCAAAAAGTTAAATTCTTTATCCTTCTTTTTGCTTTATAGTAATAGGAGTGTGATTAGTTAGAAATTTTTATCAATTATGATATTTTTTAACAATTTCTGAAAAAATATATTCTCAATTATAATTAAAGAATTAGAACTTAGCATAAACTAGAAATTGTTTGATCTTATTGTTTGACTAGGATAAGAAAGAAACCTTAGTCTTGAACTTTGCTTTATCAAGATAATAAGAGAAAAAGATCTTAGCTTGAATAAATAGTAACTTTTTTATCACTTGAGAACTTTTGCTTATATTTTATTAACCTTATAAAAGATTAATCCAATTGAAAAAACAGGTAGAAATAGGACACCAATCAATTCTTCCTATCATTAATAATATTATTAAAATATGTGAGATGATCAATAAGAACTTGTTTATATTTAGTTATTAATGTGTTTCATATTTATTAATCATATTTTACAATAGATTATATCATTTAAATTTAGTATTAAACTAAAATAGTCAAAATTTCTCAGAAATCAAAAAAATTTAAATGATTATAAGAGAGAAGATATAATAGATAAATATTTTGAAAATATGGCTTGATATTTATTATCTTTTACTATAGAAAACTTTTATAAATATGCTTTAATATGAAAAGCTTCAAGTACTATACTACTGATTCTTCTTTCTTATAAAATTTTCTTATTATAGGTAATGATAGGTCTCTAAAGTATTTAGCATATAAAATTTTGCAGATCACTTATATCTCTTTTTGAAAAACAAAATTCATAGCTTTTCACTTTAATAGGAACAAAAAACAGAAAATGCTATAAATTAATAATTTGAATAATGGAGAATAATTGTGAATAGCTTTTTTATAATTATAAATTTAAAAACTTTAATATTTCCTAGTAAGTGATATTTGATTTTTGTCTTTGCCTCTTCCTTTAGGAATCCATCTTTAGTTATAGATAGAGAAGATGTTTTTTGACTTTTCTAGATTATAGAAAATCAAATTTTTGTTTAAAAATGAATATAAACAAGAAAAAGAGGTTGAGAGTATTTCTTAAAATAAAACTTTAAGTTGATTTAAGAATAGTATTAAGACTTTATTAGTAAAGAAATAAAAAATTTCTTATAAATATCTTTTTTGTATATGAATAGAGAATCAGCAAACTTATAAAATCAATTATAATAAATTATTATTAATCTATATATAAAGTTTATATTTAATATCAATTGCAATTTATAAATTTTTTATTAGTATTATCAAAAATAAATCAAAATAAATATATTTCTAAAAATAAAATTTTTTAAAAAGCAATAAATATTTTTAGATAATATATATAATAAATAAGAAATTAAAATACAAAATAATAAGTTTATCAAATAATCAAAAAAAATTTTTAATTGAATAACTATTATTTTTTTTTTGTTTTTTCTATTTTTTATAATACAATTGTATATTTTGAAACATTTATTTTTTAAAAAAATTTTATTCTTTTATAAAGTTTTTGAATATTTAATAATTTAATAAAATAATCAATAGTAATAATTTGCTAATAATATTGTATAAATTAAAAAAGTCTCAATTCAAAGTTTACAATAAAATATCAAATTGTTCTTAGGATCAAACTTAAAGACTTTTTATATTAACAGTTTAGGAATAAAAGTTTAACTATAATATATATTATGCTGCTTGAATAAATATGCATTCATATATTTAATTGATTAATAAATTTCAATTTAACCTATTAATTATTTGCAAAAAAAAATTAATAGTATAAATTATATTTATGCCAATAAAAACCCTTGGTTGTAATTGAAATCTATCAATATAAAGTATAATTATAACAAGATGCCTCTATATGATTTCTAGTCATGAATCCACATTTTAAATAATTCCAAGTAAAAAAAAATGATAATCATTCTTGTATATTATACAAGTGAATTTATCATTTATTAAAAAGCAGGACTTATTCCAGACGAGATGCTGTTTGAACTTCCAAGCCCAAGTTGCATTGTAAAAATTGAAGGTTTTATGAGGCTCTTTGAAATTACGCAAATTTGTTTTTTTACTTGCAAACCACATGCATATATTTTTCGAATTACCAATAACCCATCGAATATAAAGAAAATTGAAACATTCATTGATACACAAATTATTGCTAAGGAGAAGTGAAAATACAATACACTCTTGATTAAAAGACAATCTTTTCATCGCTTACTTCCATTCAAATATTCAGAGACCGAGATGACGCATAGCTTGATTGACTCGAAATATTTCTTAACAAGTCGCTTCCGGTAGCGGTAGTATACAGCGTTTCGCTGTTGTTATCGTTAAGATGAATGGATAATTCACTTGAAGATGCGATTGTATCGGATGCCGTCAAAAACGTTTCATCTCCACTTTCAATACTATTTATTAATGTTGACGTCTTGGCGGTCATAATTTGACGAAATTCTTCATTTGATGAACTCGCCGATTGATCATGCACTCTTCTGAGTGGAATGTCCGAATCTGGCAATGTGGACGAAGGTCTCGTAACGAATGGAGTCTGTTTCTGTAATAAACATGAAGAAATATAAGTGTACGAAGAAGATGTATGATCAACGAATTCGCAAGAATTAATTACATTCATAAATGGATGTTTTAAGGCCTGTTCAGCAGTCAAACGTGACGTGAAGTCGACTTTTAATAATCCTTGAACTAAATCCTTTGCTTCATCTGAAATACTGTCCCACGGGGGAGATCGAAATGTGTATCTACCAGCTCTGACCTGTTCTAGTAGAGTCGGTGGCGCAAAATGCTCGCTAAATGGCGGATACCCACTCAGACATACATACAGGATCACTCCAAGACTCCACATGTCAACGGCTTTCCCATACTCAGTATCTCGATTTATAATCTCTGGCGCAACTTCAAGGATAAAGAAAAGGAGGAAAGATAAGATTGGACGGATAAGGATAGTTTTTTGGTTTTTTTTTATTCGTTGCCATTAAGAAACTTACCATATGTAGGAGTACCACAAACCGTGTTCATTAAGGAATATTTAGCACCAAGAAGTTTAGACAAACCGAAATCAGAGATTTTGACTTGATACCGGGAGGCGTCCGTCACCAATATATTTTCGGGTTTCAGGTCGCGGTGGACAATTCGACAACTGTGAAGATACTGATAAAGGTCGTGAAAAAAAAATTTTTTTTATTAAATTTACCCACCAAATAAGCATAATAAGCATAATCGAGAAACAAAAGGAAAAAAAAAATTTTTTTTAATACCTTTACTACATCAAACAATTGTTTAAAGATGATACGTGTTTCATCTTCGCTCAGTCTCTTTCTTTTGCTGATGAAATCGAAGAAGTCACCATCCCGGACACTAGTAAAAGAAAGGTGTTATCTATCGATGGCAAACCAATGTCATTAAAGCCAAATAAATTGCTAACGAACTTTTCCATTAAAAGGTATAATTTGTCGCCCTCATCATATACATCAATGATTTTGGTGAGAGATTGCTGAAATGAATTTGTATTTGTATTTCAATTAATGATGTGTATACATATATAAACAAATTCCATGAAATAATAGGGGTACGTACATGATTATACATGTGCATAATCATTATTTCTGACTTAAGCGCCGATAAATGTTTTCCAGACGTTAAATTCTTTTCGATCACTTTTACCGCAAATTCTTGACTATGCCCAAACTCGTTATGTTTTATAGGACGAACGAGCTTAACCTCAGAAAATTTTCCCTTTCCTAGTTCACCTTGAATCGCGAATTTCTTGAAGAAACTCTGAAAATTTTCATAGAGATCGGATGTAGATGTGTATGGGAAAAAAAGATTAATAATATAAACTGCTTCATTACATACCGTTGGAGGTGGCGCAGTATTCTCCAGGAAAAATTGATCTGTGAAGGGAAAAATAAATTTCTTTACAAAACGCGTCCAAAAACTTTACACGACATATATAAGATATAAATACACACATTTGTACCACGGCCTTTCTTCCCTTGAAGAAGGGAAGGATATGTTTTCAGATCCATAAAGTTCAATAGTCGTGTCACCTACAAATATATTACGAACAAGCGTACCCCACCTACACAATGATACATAGATCAGGATAATCATAACAACATGCTAAAACGAAAAAAACTTTCAATAGAACTCACCCAAGGTTTTGGAGATGCACAGTTGTACGAGTTTTACCATTTACAGTAGAGTTCGCCTATCAATTATAAGTTTTAACATAATCGAATAAGTCAAGTCATCAATTATTGCAAATTCTGAACGCTTACTTTATAAATGAGACAATGTGTGTCTGCAATTTTTTTATCGGCCGGTAGAAGCTATTCGTTCAATTCAATCAAAAAATTAATTTAGGAAGGAATATCCTTAAAGTCTTCGCGAAGATTCGAAATACGTAACCACACCTTGAACCTATCGAGATCTTCGCGTCGGTCACAATGTTTGCCCAACACGTGAGAACTTTCGGTCAAATATATTTTCGGGAGACCTGCCTCCAAGGGTACAAGAGTGGCCCAAAATTTTCCGGGGCTCGCGGTTGACGTATCGGTTTGCTTAGGACCACCAGAAGGAAGAAGAGGGGGCCTACGACTATACTTTCCCCCTTTCCTCTTATCTGAATTCGCTTTAAGCGTTAACTTTAAGGGGGGCATTGGTGCCATTGCGCTAAATAATAAAAATTTACACTTAAAATATGCATTTATTTCGCGAAAAGGTTAAGCCTGCAATGACATAATTTCTTACGTTTTCCTTCAACCAAAAAAAAATAAAGAAAGAAAATTGCTTGATGGTAGTTTGCAGTTCGCAAGAGGTCAGGTGAATAGCTGAGAGTTTAGAAAAATAACGTATATCAGAAAAAGGTGTATATATAATCGATAATAGTCTAGAGCCTGTGGCTTGTGATAGTCAATCGGTTCGTGGGAAAGTCAACAGACTGCGTGCTTAATTACTGAATTTCGAGAAAACGTTACACAAAATGTCTCAAAAGTTTATTTTATTCACCGATCGACGGGTCAAATGTTCAATGCAAACGAGTAAAACAATCAGATTTAGCCGCAGCATTATTATAAAGTCAAAAACGAACTTCAAACATCAACAATGAATCATGAATTATAAATACGATGTCGATATCAGTTATTGAAAAAAAATTTTTTAAATTGTTATCCAATTTAGGAAAGATAACTCCTGCGACAATCCTCGAAATCGTTTAATAAAACCAAACTGGTCTGACGCTAAACAGTTAAAATGCTGTATTTAAGTGCAAATCTATCACTGATCGGATCGTGTATGTGTGTATGTTTACTGATCATCTCTTGCTGCTAAAATTCCCCTTTTGTCAATATACCCCTTTGGCACAAAGTAACTATTTGGTTCGATTGACGTTAAAATTTCCCACCGTTGATGATGTCACGCATGATAGCCATTTTCGGTTAACAAGAGTTACACGAAGCTCAACAATGAACTGACTGTATTCTTATAACAATAACACAGTAGTGCACGTAGCAATTTATTGAGACATGGATTCCCGGAGCGTATTGTTCATACTTATCTTTTAAATCGCGCGTGGGCGTCCTCATTATTTTTGGAAAAAGATTACAAATATTGTTTTTAATAAATATTTACTTTTGATTTTTTATTTTATATATTTTTTTCAAGTAATCTAATATATGATTTTTAAATTTTTTTTTTTAAGTGTTAAACCGCAACTGGTATTAGATGCGAGACTTTATTTGGCAATTTAATTCCATTATTACATCAAACATCTCTACATATGCAGATTAATGCTAACCTAATGTGGCAATCCTTGCTAAACTTACTATCACTTCAAAAGTAGGTACATCTAACTAGTGGCCAAATGATTAATATATAGTCATAAATGGTGATACTTAGACTAGTTGATATGGTGCTCATATGACTTTTTTTTTTTTATAGTTTACTAAGCTAGACCTGTTAAATATACCTAACGAGATGTACACACCCTCCAATATTTCTTGATATTATTTATTTAGATCTTGGAAAGAAGCATATTATCTTCTTTGTCATTACTTGTGACATCGAATCAATTTCTATTACCTGATTTTCAATTAAGCATAGTATTAAATTGGAATATCTTGAGCTAGAAGAGTGGGGATTCTGGAAACTGTCAGGATAGAGTGGACTAAAGATTTTTATGTAAAAGGTTAAACCAGAAACCTTACTTTGTCAGCTTCTGATCAACACAAGGTCAAAAGTTCTATCTTCATGTAGCCTAACCTGTTTCAAGCTGATTTCAGATAATTGTGTATAACTTTTATAGGATAATTAATAAACCTGATTAAAAAAACAATTTCAATTTTTGATCCTTAAGTAGTATTGTGATCAAATTTATATTTGACCAGTGTGTCCAAGTGGAATTGCTTTTAAAAGGACAATTTCCAAAGAAAGAATTAA